CGCGAAAGGCACATTTAGCATGCAGTTGTCGTTTTATATAAATTATGCCACAACGGGCTTTAGATCAACTACCATATATGTATATATACATACACACACACACTCTCTCTCTCTCTCCATAAGTATGTATGCATGTATGTATGTACACATATATACATAGATGCTTGTATACGTGTATAGGTGTATATATATATATATACACACATATATATATATACACATATGCATGCATGCATGCATGCATGCATGCATGCATGCATGCATGCATGGATGGATGGATGGATGGATGGATGGATGGATGGAGGGATAGATGGATGTCTGCTCATGTGGGGCGATACGGTGTAGCCTGACTCAGGCAATGTGGGCGGGGTCGGGATACAATCGCAGCAAGGCAAGATCTAGGGCCACCGGATCAATAATGATGGTCTTGAGCAGCCTAGAAATCCTTGCAATGCATCAGCCCGTTCAGCTTGGGTGTCTTGCTATGGTTTAGGGTTTAGGGTTTAGGGTTTAGGGTATAGGGTTTAGGGTTTACATTTAGGAGCCTGATACAGGAGTACCGGGGCTCTCTGGGAAACTGCTTCATCGACCAGCTCTTTAATGAGTTGCCGCGTTCTTGATGTATGGTCTGAAAGCTCCTAGCAGCGTGAGTTGTAGGAGATATGATAGTCTAGGGAAGTCGAATGTGTAGCTCTTGCAAGGGGTTAAAGGTCTAGGTGCAGGGCTTAACCATCGCAGCCTCAGCCTTTTACCGCTAGATCTTAGGGGGAGGCAGACACTTCACATTTGTGATGCTCTGGGCATCGCCCTGTGTGCGACACAAAGCCTTCCAAATACCTCAAGGCCTTCCCCTTTCCCATCATATTCGTCCATTTCAATCGTGCCCCGAAACCCCTCAAGCACTACACGATCCTGACCACGCGGACTCTGCGTCCGAATGCCAATAAAACCCCATAATATTGTGACGCAATCCCTAAACGATAAACCCGGAACCCTAAACCCTGATCCCTAAACCATAAGCCAACTTAGGAGCCACGGCTTCGGAGCCTATTTTCGTGGCGCTCTGTGCACGCACTGTGTGGGTAAGCTTCGATGCTAAGCGAAGAAGCCTAGATCCACTCCGTCAGATTTCTACAGCCCTTTATACTTAATTAAATCAAATTATGCCTTTTTTGCTTATTATACTATGTTACTACATACATGTGATATCGAAACTACACGTATACATATTATTGCGGGGCCAAACTCTCCACGTTCAGGAAGTCTCTAGAAGTGTAAGCTAGACCGGTACCCGAAAGATCCTAGACGTATCTTATACCTCTGAAGCGAAGATAACCCGAAACTTATTGTTTTGAGCGTAGGCTGCAGGTAGGTTTCTAACTTCTAATCGGACAGAAAGTCTATCCGACGAGCTTGACAAGCATCCTTGCAGCAGATGAGAAAATCTCTCAGAGGACGACATCAAAGATATAGGATGCCAGGCCAAACCGGAGGGAGAAGCACAAGAAGGTGCTTCCCAACTGCAGCATCAGCAGACGGAGGCATAAGACGTCTTCGCGGCAGGGTCCCATGACCTCAGGATTTGAGACATGTCCCCCTTACCACTCGGTAGAACCTTACACGTAGATCAACAGCACGGGACGTGCTTCGTCCAGGGTATACAGGGCGCTAAACCCTAAACACCAAACCCTAAACTGCAGCGATGTGTCACCGGACCCACTCGCTTGATCCACGAACCCGAAATCCCGGGCACAACACCAAGCAAGTCAAGATTCCTGAACCTACTTCTCCAGTATCTTGGAATCTTGGCATTAAAGGTTGACCGTTGGGGGATATTGGGTTTATACAGGGGTTAGAGTACCCCAAAACAAGTGTTGAAGGTTACCTACTCTGCTACTAGGTGAAATAGCTCTACAAGCCGCCGGGTGCCTTTGCATCAAAGCACAGCAATGTACCTCAACCCCCCCCTTGCTCTGTCCCCCAAACGCCTTCCCATGCCTCAAACCGACCCTTGAACTCGAGGTGGCCAGGCAGCACCAAACAATCCTGGCCCTAACCGCCTAAACATCGCCATGCCACCCCCCCCAAAGCACAACCCCCGGAGGGACATAGAAAGCGAAGTCCGCAAGACATTGATGTAGACCGCAGATTCATGCTCTGCTTTTCTTTAGGGCCTTAATCTTAGCCTTCCCATGACCATGTCCTTTACAGTAGGAGGTGTGGGTTAGTCAGGGGTCTACATTAACCCTCGTCTCCAAGGTCCGAGGGACATAGAGAACGAAGTTGATAAGAGTGAGGTTGCTCATCATCACGGAGCCCTCCTCTTTGCCAGGTTTCAGGTGCACCAGCCTCCTGAGATGTCTGGCGGTTGAGCTTCTTAGACCCTGGATTCTTTTGCGGCTTCTGATGGCCCGATGTCCAATTTTGGGGTGCAACCATGTGTGTTAACTGGCTATTATTCGGGCATGACCTGAATAGCCGAGGAAAAGTGCAAACCTCAATGAGTAAAGGCAGTAGCTCTGTGAAGCTCAACCCACCTAACAAGCCTAGACCATACACTCTAACCCCTAAGCCCTAAACCCTACACCCTAGACTAGATCCCTCTTGGATTCAGGAAAATCGGGTTGCAGATGCGAGGTTTCTTGGCCTATCATGCTTCATCTCAAGGAGAAGACACCTTTCGACTACGTCGGACAGGATGTCGCTTATTGGATCGAGATGAAGGAGCAGGGCTTGCGGGCTTTGCTCTGGGGCTGTGAGTGGAAACCACTTTCGCTTAGGGCATAGGCTTGAAGCTCTGGCGAGGAGCTCACTCCTAGCGTAATGGTTGTACCCTATACGGTCAGGGCTCAGATGCGAGGTTCTCTAAAGTGGGGTCCTTTTTTAGGATCTTTCTTATAGGGGTGCCATACTATATTGGGCACCGAAAAAAGTCACCCCAATTTAGAGAACTACCCAGATCCTCACACCACTGAAGTGAACCTTGCCAAAGCTGCAGAGACTTCAGCACGGTGAAGACCAAGAGCCCTAGCGGCTTCAGCTCGGTGGGTTTGAACTCGGCGTAACTGTTGCAAACCTGAGTCTTCGCAAAGCAGGGTTTGGGGGGTTAAGGGTTTCTGAATTCGAACATAGACGACTTATTATTTACGTTCCTGCACTTTTCATGGGCGGCATTTGTAGTCAAGATGTGATTCGGGAGCATGTGTGGATTGTCGGGCGGGCTCTACAGATAGAATCCCTTCCGTGTGCCAAGGAGCTGTCCCGTTGGAGGCATTGTAGGCCGGCATTCGGTGCCGAGGACATGGGATACCCATGAAGGAGAACAGCTGTGGGCAGGAGTATAAGAAGTTCAGCACCTGCGGAATCAGTAGGAGAACCATCGTTTTGCTGATATGTCCGATGATGCTCACAACGGCCAAGGTCATGCCTGCGAAGTAGCAGTATGTATCGCCGACGAAGACCGTAGCAGGGAACCAGTTGAGTCGCAGCAGCGACATGCTTACAGCCAGAAAAGGCACGATGAGAAAGATTGATTGCACATGACTGTCCCTATAGTTCTTGTACTGGTCCGGGATGCGGTGCAGCTGGATAATGTTCAAGAGCAGAACAGATCCGGCAATAACAACCGCTTGACCTACCTCCAACCCATTCACGCCAGCATAAATATTGATGGCATGAGTGGAGAAGACTGCAAGGATCAAAAGGAAAGCATAAAAGAACACACCTAAATCAATTGCATCACCAAACAACCAGCGCAGTTGGTTTGGAACCATAACGCCAGTCTCGTTTCCGTTGGCATAGTAGACTAGCAGCAAGGGAAGCGTGGCCAGAAAAGGTAATGGGATTTTGTATCTCCATCGGAGATCCAAGACGTCATCAGCAAAGCCCATGAACGAGGCAAAGGTGATGGTGAGTACCGCGGCCAAGTACTCCGCCATTTCATTGTGGGGAAACAGCTCTAGATTCTCTCTTGCGAAAGCGAAGGGAATGAAGACAGACAGCAAGAGGATGTACACCTTGGCATGTTTTGTCGCACAGAACACGTATGAGAAAAGCTTAGCTCAAGGATAGGCATATATTCCACAGGCGGATACAAAAAAAACCAAGCATGCTCAACCCCGAACCTAGGCACGGCTGCCGCTATCGTTCCCTGAGATTCTGGAATAGGAATGCCTTCGATGGGTCTCACCAAATTGCCATCGGCATCACGCTTCGTTGTCTGCTTGTTGAGATCGATCCCACGCAAATTCGCCTGAATCGCCGTTAAGGAGACGCTGCTAAAGAGTCCAATTACGACGCTTATAGGGGATCCTGCTTTAGAACCGTATAGCGGCGGGAGCCTCTTATAGCAATCCATAGTAACCCTTATCGTCGGGGATAGAATTAAAAGGACTTGAGAACGCTTGAGGGAATCATTACAGGGACACCTTAGACGACCATGGTTGGATCTGGGTGTGTGGGTTTTATTGTCTAGGGTTTATAGGGTTTTAAGTTTGAGTTTGGGATTTATGGCTGTGGGTGTCCGGGAAACGGTTTTGGGTTTAGGCTTGAGCACCCTTAGAACCCCAATACTAGTAGAAACATCATAGTCAAAATAAGCAGCCTCTTCGTTCCATGAAATAAAACAGAAGGATAATTTCTCAGAGCACGAAATTGGCGTTTAGGATGTAGGGATCGGGCCTAAATTCAGGGACCCGCCTTGATGAAGGTGTCACCCAGCGTTCTGGAGATGGAGGCCATGGCGATGTAGCCCAGGATCGAGAGCCCCACATTCACGCCTAGAATCACCTCCACAAGGGGGTTTAGGGCCTAGGGTTTTAGGGTTTAGGGTTTAGGGTTTTAGGGTTTAGGGTCGGTTGGCTGTGGAGGAAGGGGAGGGAGTGCGAGGAGGGGAAGGGGAGGCCTGCAAGAACCTATTGGCGCAGTTGCCAGACCGTATAAGCCACTACTGGGAATATGATGAAATAATACAACGAAGACAGACCCCGCGACTCAACAGAAACACACGGTTGCACCTGCACCCAAAACACTGAACACACGCAGTCGAATTCAAAACCGAAGTGGTTGAAGACCATACACTACTCACTAATTACTATCCGTGAGCCTGGTATGCGGCTCTTTTTTGTCACTGTAGTCGTACTGGTGTTTTCATTTCTGCAAACACGTCAGGTTCATCCAGCACTCAGCCTGGAAACTGAATAGGCTTTACGCCTTACTCATGAAAACCCGTATAGGCCATCGTCCGACACCCAAGGGTCCAAAAGGTCCACCTGCTTATGGCGGATACTTACCCAAACCGAAATGGCAGTCTAAATGATAGTAAGTCCTTCAGCCGAAACCTTAGACCCTAAAACCCTATAAACCCTA